CTGCTTTTTACTGTGTTCTAGCCGATTTAAAAACATGCATATTACATTTTTCGCGCTTATAAGCGCAATTCGACGCTGATTACCGGTAAGCGGAAACCTGCTTGCACTGTATTTGTACACTCTCAATCAACAAGTAGGTATGTAATTCTTTCACTGATTTGTTTTTTGTTTCTAAATGACGAAACTGATATGCTGGTCTCCATCTTTCAGGGTGTCTCGGATCCTTCTTCAAATAACAATTTCCTGCACAAAAAATGCGGTGTTCCAGGAATTCAAACGCTATTGTTTTAGACCTGCGTTGTTTCTTTGGATGAGAGGGACTTGCTTCTGAACCAGCTGATCTAGTCGACCTCATTGCTATTTTCAAATGTGTTTTAGATTAGTGTGGGTTGAAACACAGCTTCTGTGACACTTTATGGCGAAGTCATGATCATCTGGTACATACTTTCTTCTCCAGTTCCATAAATTTTTCATCGCCGTATTGTATGCTACATGTTATGTCTTTATTCGTTAAGCAATCGCTGCCGAATTAAAAAAACACTTTTCTTCTCCCAAGTAAAATATACTTTCGCGAACTTCCATCGTCTTTATTTTTTGTTATTTATAGCGTTTCGATTGCTTCACTATCTACAACTTTCATTCACCTGATTATGATCTTAGATGATTGAGCATTAGAACTGAAATAGAACACATAAAAAATAGAGACAACCGAAGTCCTAAATTCTCTCTCACATGAAATTTAAACGTTCTTCAAGCACAAGCTTACAGAAAATATGTTTTAAAATATTGGTTGGTTGGTTGTAGGGGGGATCTAGGCCCTGTGGCCTTTCATGCACTGCAGCCTGTTGGCTTATTGTGCACCCCAATTTTCCTATAAAAGTCTTGTTCCCTGTATCTGGTCTAAAAGCCCTTGGACGAGATTTCCAGGTGGTAGTCTATTTCCGGTCTGTATTACTCCGGAGAGTCCACACAGTCATAATTGATGCCGAAAGCTGTTTCGTCTTCCTCTCCACATAGTCTGCATTCAGTTGGTCCATTGAATATCCCCATCCTGTGCTGATGCTTCTTCAAGTGACAGTGTTCTCTCAAAAGCCCTATCACTTGTCATCTCTGTGTGCGCGTGACTGGTAGCACGTCAGTTGTTAGTTCCGTTGAAAGGTTTCCTATTATATGGGTAATTTTGTTCAGGTGTTGTATTCCAACGGGCCAAATATGTTGTCTTTCCGACCATTTATCCAGTGTTGACTGTACCACTTGGATCGATATTCCAAAACTAGGCCTGGGGCCTATGAATGGCGTTGCAGCTCCAGCTCTCACCAGCCCATCTGCTTTTTTGTTACCCTTTATCAATCAATCTTTGTTTCCCTTGGCAAGCTGCTTTAGGTCAGTGAGGCACTCCATCTTCATTCAGGAAGTGATGCGATAGGAATTTAGCGCTTTCCTATTCTTAAATAGTGCTGCTTGGCTATCCGTGAGAATAGCTACCTACATTTTGGTTTTTACATTCTCGCGTAATGCTTTTTTGGATTCACTCATGTATAGCGAAGGCTTCTGCTTGATATAGTGGTTTGATTCACCAGTAATATGCTGATATTTATCTTGGGTTGTTCTGTTCTCCATACATCCCTGCCCCCACTTTGTTTGCCGTTTTTGAGCCGTTTGTATATATAACCCGTCCATCAAGCAACAGAGGGAAAAAATTAAATTAAAGTAATTATAGCCTCTACATTGGCCGCCATGTTGAATATATCGAGTTGCCCAAAGGTGACAGGATGTCATCATTGATTTTCTTGCAGCTGCTTCACATCATGATTATGGTACCTATTAAGTTTTTTTATTTCTGAATTAGTAGAAATAGAAGGGCATCTACTTCTACTAATTCAGAAACAAAAAAACTTAATAGGTACGATAATTCATGATGTGAAACACTTCTAAGATCTTTGAAGAGAGATGCAGGCGTGCCGAATCAGATGCACTTCAACAAAATCCGTTCTTCGAACCCTCAACTGATTGCTGAACTCTTTGCCACATACCACATACTTCAAGAATTGTTACTCTGACCATAAGGATGTTGAGATCATCCGATCATCTCTTCACACTCAAGGAAATACAGAGAAAAATTCTGGATCTCGAAGCCTCAAAGAGTCCTTGACCGGATGGTCTCTCCCCACTATTTCTTAAAGGCTGTTGAGCATCTCTAATAGAAGCCTCTGAAGCAAAATAATTATAGAGGCGTATCTCTACTATCTCCCATTCCTAAAATTATGGAATCCATGCATTCTAACAGACGATGTGTATTCATGCTTTAGTAACTACCTATAGGGTGGTCCAAAAAAAACCGGAATTTTGTTTTTGAGCTGTAACTTTTATATTTGTTTACCAATTTTCTTTTGTTTTGGCTTGTTTGAAAGAGAAATGAACAGACTAACGAATCAGGGTAACATTTGAAAAAAATCCAAAATGGCGGACTTTTTCAAAAATTGCCTAGTTTTGGATAGCGCTGGAACTTTTTTGGGACACCCTGTATAAGTTTTTTTAATAAATTCTTAAAGTTCATAATTTTGCGAACATTTTAAGACCTCGACAGAGAAAATCGGTTGAAAACTAAGTGAAATATTGATTTTTTTGTAATATCGAATTTCAATTTTTTATATTGACAGGAAAATCTGAATATGCTTTTTCAGCTAGATTTTTTTCTTTCTACTCGACATATTTCTTCTATTTCGGGCTTGTTCGAAAGATAAATGGATAGGATAAGGACTCGAAATGAAGATTTTAACTGTTGAGAAAAAATTAAAGATTTCCCAGTTCCTTTAACATAGCCAAAAATTTTCACCTTATCCGGAGTACAGAATTCGCTAAACAACCAACTACGAATTTTTCTCCATGCTCGAAAAGCAGATAAAGGAAGAGAAAAATTCAGCAGTTATTTAATGGTACCTATCTGCAGCAATTTCTCGAAGCCACAAAGCACAACTAATTGTTATCGACCAAGGAGTTCGCTTGGATTCACGCAAGTGTTAGGGCTGTTCGCACAGCAATCACAAACCAGTCAGAGCGAACTTCATTGGTTGAAAACAATCAGAAACAGTCAGAAAACTAGTTTCAACCAATGAAATTCGCTCTGACTGGTTTGTGATTTCTCTGCGAACAGACCTATTGTCAGCTTGTGTTCGTCATATGCTATCCGAAGTCAAGGTTGTTTGAGAGAGGTAGGTTGCCTGATAACTTTTATGACGTCATCTGTATGCTTGAACATAATGCGAATCTCCATAAGGCACTCTAGATGCGTCATCAAGTTACCCATTACCAGACAACCTGTTAACTTTAGGAATCTTGATCCGAAATTGAACAGCTCACACCTCAAGACTTCACTTTTATGCAGGTAATTTTATAACTTACCTAGTTAACATTTATTGTTCCGATTTTGGTTTTCACAAAAACTATCTAAGAGAGCAAGTTGCCGATTTTATACAGCCCGTTGACTGGCCGCCTAATAGCCCAGATTTCAATTCCTGCGATTACTTTGCATGGAGGGGATTTGGAAGAAAAAGTCCACGGAAATAGGGCTACGTTCAATAATTTAGGAGAACTGCACAACCGAATCATTGAGGTTTGGGGAGAACTGCTGGAACAACGTAACATTGCCAATTCTATCGATTCTTGGCGTAGACGTTTAGCATGGGTTGTTAGAGGCCCACGGAAAGCATATCGCCTCTTGCCCCTTAAATGTGTTTACTTTATTTTCTAAAATTTATAAATAAAAATATTAGTCGTATCGTATTGTTAGAAAACTTATCGTAAAATTTTTCAAAATTGGCTATGTTGAAGGAACTGGGAAATCTGTTTTTCTCAACAGTCAAAATCTTCATTTCGGATCCTTATCCTATCTATTTATCTTTCGAAGCCCGAAATAGGAGAAATATGTCGAGTAGAAAAAAAAAATTCTAGCTGAAATAGCATATTCAGATTTTGCTGTCAATATAAAAAATTGAAATTCGATATTACAAAAAAATCAATATTTGACTTAGTTTTCAACCGATTTTTTCTGTTGAGGTCTTAAAATGTTCGCAAAATGATGAACTTATACAGGGTGTCCCAAAAAAGTCCCAGCGCTATTCAAAACTAGGCAATTTTTGAAAGAGTCCGCCATTTTGGATTTTTTTCCAATGTCAAAAGTTTTACCCTGATTCGTTAGTCTGTTCATTTCTCTTTCAAAAGCCAAAACAAAAGAAAATTGGTCAACAAATAAAAAAGTTACAGCTCAAAAACAAAATTCCGTTTTTTTTTGGACCACCCTATACATTGCTAACGAACAGCACGGTTTCTAACGAAAGCTTTGCAATCAGGAAAACAGGTGGACGTGATCTTCACGGACATTTCAAAGGCCTTTGATAGTGTGTGCCATAAGTTGTAACTAAAAAAACTCTCAGAAATGGGCGTTGGTGCACGTTTCTTAAAGTTTATAGAATCGTACTTAACGGAAAAATGTCAGAGTTGGTGTGTGAGGTGCAGCTATTATCCCACAAGTTCATAGTTCCATCCGAAGTCCTTCAGAGATCGCGAATGGGACCAATTCTGTTTTTTCTTTTCATAAATGACGTCATCAATTGCTTCCAATCGTCCCTCTGCTTACTATATGCTGACGGAATGAAGTTTTTCGCAGTTGTGAACGGACACTCTACCTCTCTACAGCCGAATTTGGGCTGTAGAGGTGTAAGCATAAATAGTTATGTGCTGTATAAACACTAATTTCTGCTGTGCATTAAGCATTGGCTATGATGAATTGTGAATTGAGAAATAAGAATTGTGCATTATACAGGCTGTAGTTAAACCGGCCTTCAGTGTCACAATGGCACTCATTTTTTTGCCAATCATCACTTTAAATTAGCATGACCAAAGTAGTCATAGGAACATCAGTTTTAACAACTATTATCAAAGGCCGCACAAATTCGTAACTGGCTAAACCCATGTACTTGCCTTAATCAACAAAACATCAATAATTTGATTGAACTACTTTATTACAGCCTTAGGAAATACCTGTACAAAATAAATAAATCATACATCTCACCGGACATGGTTTAACAACACTCTTTGAGAATTTCTATTGCAATTATTTTAAAAAAAAATTATTGTCTTATTATAAATATTAGGAAACTAAGAACAATAACGTACACTGTTGGAAACTGTGGAGTCAATTTATGTTTTCTAATAACAAAAACAATTAAATTACAGAAAAATTGCTCTAAGCACTCTCAGCACTCTAAACACTAAAATTGCAAAAATCCCTAAAGTTCTGTATGCACATGTGCCTGGTGTTTAACGTCAGGCGCATGTAAATATACTCCTTCCATACTTTGCCAATGTACTGCGCCAGATGGCGATCTTGCTCCTATAACTTCCAATTGGCCGTTGATAGGTCTGCCAAAACTTCGGCCTGAAACTCCCAAGTACATTTGAGTGTCTGCGTGTTTGAACATCACACTGTCGTCTCGCAACCAAGCGTCTCCTATGTAAAAAAAGTTGTTTTGATTTATTTGGCTTACATATTTATCTGATAAATAATATACAATAACATCTATAAGATCAAATTTTAAATAGACAACCTCTAGCCACTTTTCGTATTCTGTCAGTTACTATTCACTCTAGGAGGTGGGATTCAGCTCATTGCAAGATGCAACTCGAATGCTGTTTGTCTAAAATACTTCATGCAACATGCCAATTTCTAACAATTTGAAGACAAACATCATCAAATATAATGGTACAAAATAAAATAATGAACAAGGCGGCTAGCATTAAAAATCTTTTTATTTTTAACCATATATGAAATGTTGTCATTACTGACTTTTCAAAAATTTGAAAATGTCACATTTCTGTCTTTTTATTTTCCTGGTCCATTACCTGTCCCAGGACGGGAAATGAGGACGGAAATTTTTTCCGTCCTCATTTCCCGTCCACGGACGGAAAATGGGGCAGGGAAATATTTCCCGTCCTCATTTCCCGACCTCATTTATTTGGTTGTCACGAATTTATTTTTATTTTTTCAAGAAATTATGGTTAAAAATAAAATAGTATACAAACCTCGACGGGAAAATTCATTGCTGTCTCGAGGTTCAGTTTATCTCGACGCTACGCGTCGAGATAAACTATATAACCTCTCGATCAGCAATGAAGCATTTCCCGTCTCGGATTGTAATATACTATTAGTTACCTATATTGGGGACAATTGTTTTTTGCACAAATTTATTTCAGTAACGACATTAAAGAAACATGGAAGTTACCTGAACATATCACAGTCCAATTATCGCCAGAGTCTCCTTCCCCTTGTTCATCGCCATAAGCACTAATTTCTTGATTGCCACTTAGAGGACTAGAGAACAAGTGTGAGTGGAGATTTTTCTTGGTTTCCACATGTTCTAACCTAAATTAGAAACCAGTTAAATAAACCAGTAACATAAACGACAGTAATTCTCACCTAATAGTTGCACCGCAAGCAACTGTGTCTCCTCTCAAACAAACTTTTCCGGTACCTCCTTTCACTAACCAGTGGCTGTTAATATCTTCTTGTACCTCTGTAGCTGTAACCGACTGTTGTCCACTGCCAGTACCATATTTTACGTCATGTGAATGAAGCCTGACTTTGTAGTCCGTGTTCATAAGTTTGATCACGGAGCCGCATGATACAAATTGTTGCCTGGCGTCTGGAAATTTTCAGAAAGAATAATTTACAATCCAAAGTAGCAACCGAGGGGTCAAGTGCTAGCCAAATTTGTACACTGAATACATGGAGTACCAAGGAATACAATAAGAATACAATAATACATAGAAATACATATGATTACAAAGGAATACATATATAACTAAGTACTACTGACAGGCACTGTACACATCTTTAAACACAATAAACATCAAGGTATACATAATGGACGAGATAATGGATAAATAATTAGTAGCTATTATAAAAATATCGGCCATTAGGTATAGCAAATGAAAGAGTTCAATCGTTTGGAATGTCCAGTAATACAAACTCGAATATGAAGAAATTATAATTGTTAAAAATCAACATGATAAATTGCAAAACTAACTTTGATGCTTGATCCTATATTTTTTGGGAATGCATATTGCATCAGCTCTTTTTCAGTTGAAATACTTATGTATGCTTTATCTACTTCAGCAATGTCGTCTACCTTGAGCCAAGTAAAAGTATCTAGCTCAAAATTCAAAAATCTGAGTTGGTATTTTGTTGTTCTCTATTCCAATAAATCTAGCAATAAGGATAGCCCAGATGGGCTAAGTATCTGTTTGTTAAAGAACTGTTTTGAAAATTTAAAGGAGCCACTACTGCACATAATTAATTCATGTATATTAGAATGCAAAGTACCAACAAAACTAAAAATTTCAACAATTGTTCCTATTCCAAAAACGTCCAATGCACAGATGGCAGCAGAATTTAGACCTGTTAACATGCTCAGCTCTGTAACAAAAGTTTTTGAGAAGGTCTTGTATGAGCAACTTATAGATCATTTAGAGGAAAATAGTATTTTAGCTCAATATCAGTCAGGGTTTAGAGCAAAACATAACTGCGAGGCCGCTATACAATGTGTATTGGACGATTGGAAGCGCTATAATGACAGGAATCAGGCGGTGTGTGCTGTTTTTCTGGATTTGCAAAGGGCTTTCGAGACAGTGGATAGAAGAAGGCTGCTTTTAAAACTGAGAAAGGTCGGCATTGAGGATGGGGCACTGGAATTGCTTCAAAGCAATCTAACTGGGAGAAGGCAGAAAGTCAGGGATTATCAAGTTGAATCAGAACTTATAGAGACCGAAATAGGTGTTCAACAAGGAAGCGTTTTAGCACCATTGATGTTTCTGGTTTATATTAATTACATTGCTGAAGTTGTTGAGGGAATTGAGATCCAAGATAATTTTGATATCCCCAGGGTCCGGTCTGTACAGGGTGCTGCAATTTGGAGTGTTTCAACAAGAAAAACCTACTTCCAGACCAAATAGAGGAAAATTGACTTAGACGTCATGGGATCGATTTTTGAGAAACGTCAATTGTCAAAAACCGTATCCCGATATCTTCAATGGTACCATCGATACAGGGCGATTTTCGATTTTCCCCTATTATGAAAAATGGCTATAAGTTTTTTATTTATCAATTTTTTTTATTTCTGTAAAAACATGATGGAGACACTTTTTTGAGCACAATCCAGTAGCGGATTCAGTTTTTTTCTATATCGCTCCGATTTTGAGATATCGACCAAATTCCGATATTTTCAAATGGAACACCCTATATATTAATAGCTCATTGGATAGCTCTGTTTTTGCTGATTTCAATGATAGAAAATTCGATAGGTTTATCTCTAACAGTTTTCGAGAAAAAAAATTATATCTGTTTTTGTCGTAAGGACCAATGTGTTAGAAAAGGATTTTATATGTGTAAGGAGAATGAGGAAGGTCTCTGTCTAACACATTGTTTCTTATGACATAAAGAGATATAATTTTTTTTTCGAAAACGTTAGAGATAAACCTATCGAACTTTGTATCATTGAAATCAGCAAAAACAGAGCTATCCAATAAGCTATTAATATATAGGGTGCTTCATTTGAAAATATCGGAATTTGGTCGATATCTCGGAATCGGAGCGATATAGAAAAAAACCGAGTCCGCCACTGGATTGTGCTCAAAAAAGTGTCTCCATAATGTTTTTACAGAAATAAAAAAAAATGATAAATAAAAAACTTATAGCCATTTTTCATAATAGGGGAAAATCGAAAATCGCCCTGTATTAATGGTACCATTGAAGATATCGCGATACGGTTTTTGACAATCGACGTTTCTCGAAAATCGATCCCATGACATCTAAATCAATTTTCCTCTATCTGGTAGGGAAGTGTGTTTTTCCTGTTAAAACACTCCAAATTGCAGCACCCTGTACAAGCAGAAAAATCATTATTTATTAGGGGATTAATTGAATTTAACCAGTTACCGACTGATATCAAAGGCTGTGAACAAATCAATACTTTTAAAAGAAAACTTAGACAATATATTAGAGATAAGACAGATTAAATTACAGTGTATACTTTTAGTTTTATTTATTTGAGTGATTTAGAATATTTTTGTTTTTTGTTTGTATTGCCGGTTTTATATTTAATGATTGTATTTGAAATTGATGTGCAATGTTGATTAATCGTTTATCTTTTTTTTTTTCCAATTTATTTATTTCAGACCTTAAAACAGTACAATACATACTGGCACCAAGGCCTTCAAAAACTAACAGTTATTATAAGTACATATTACTACATATTAAGTAGATAATAATAAATTACAGGAATATATTCCTTCAAAAACTATCTTTAATATACTTTTTCAGGTTACGGCTCACTTTCAATTGACTTCCTATAAAATTTACTTTGGGTATTTTGTTGAATGTCTGTACACTTCGGTAAACTGGAGAGTCCTGTCCCTTTTTTGTCCTAACATGGTTATTCCTAATGTCTGTATTTGTCCTTGTGTTATACGTATGGTATGCATTTGTTTCCTTCAGAGTTACATTTGTTTTGATCAAACTTTTTTTCATACAGTGTATTAGCTTGCTTTGTTCTAGGCCTTTCAATTGTCTGATATTCAAAAATGGAAATTGCTGATGTAAGTGTTCACTGGGGGTTGACCACACTAATGAAAATATTGCTTTTATGGCTTTGTTTTGTGTTCTTTGTAATTTATCCAATAGGTATTCACTGGCATTTCCCCAACATGGAACTAAGTACCTGAGATGTGGTTCAATAAAACTGTTGTATAGTAAATACCTTGTGTTTTTATTTAGTTGATGCGCACACCTTTTCACTGCCCCTATGAACGGTACTACTTTTTGAATCACACTTTCAATGTGAGTCTCCCATGACAGCTTACTTGTAATTAGAAGACCCAAATATTTATATTCATTCACTTTTTTTAAAGTAGTATCATTTATTTTAATATGATGTTGATTAGTCTTTTTTCCTTTTTGGGTGACTGTCAAGTACACGGTCTTTTCAATGTTTATGCTTAATTTGTTATAGCATAGCCAATCATAGTACATTTTAAGATCCTTATTTACAATGTCTTCAACCATTTGACCATCTTCACTCGTATATACTAAAACTGTATCGTCAGCAAACATAAAATACTTTGCTTGAAGTCCGATAAATTTCATACTATGAACATAAAGTAAGTATTGTAAGGGTCCCAAAACTGATCCCTGAGCTACACCAACTTGTACACCTGCCTTACTACTAGATACATCATTTACAACTGTGTATTGTTCTCTGTTCTTTGAATATGTTTCCAACAGTTTGTAGGTAATTCCTCTGCATCCCATATTATACAATTTATTGAGGAGGATGTCGATATTGACTGTATCAAAGGCCTTCTGAAGATCAATGAACACCAATACTGCAATCTTGTTTTTGTCAATTTCGTTTGATACATATTCCAGAAGATCTACAGTAGCACCCAAGGTACTACTGTTTTTCTGAAAACCATACTGCCCATTATCAAATTTAAAGGACCCATTGATAAAACTTATTAGTCTGGTTTTAATGACTTTTTCAAGTACTTTGGAGAAGGTGCTTAGCAGGGATATTGGTCGGTAGTTATTTAGCTCATCTTGAGCGCCTTTTTTATGCAGTGGTATGACCTTAGCGATCTTCAGCTCTTGTGGATAAATACCTGTTTCAAGGATTTTATTGATCATTTTTACCATTTTCTCTCCAATTATGTGGAATAATTTTAAGAGATCAGACTTTGTCACATTGTCCATTCCTGGAGCACAGTTGTTCTTAAGAGCAGTTATTATTTCTTTAATTTCATTTACATCAGTTGGGATAAGGAATATACTTTCATTTATCGATTGTTCTTCAAATTGTCTCTGGGGGTCTTTTATGCCTGAAGCAAGAGTGCAGCCAATATTTGAAAAATGCCTGTTGAATTCATGAGCTATTTCTGTGTTGCTTTCCAGTTTTCTACCATCTGTCGCTATAATTTTGTGAATTTTGCTTTTGTTTCCACTTTTACCACATAACTTATTTAAGACTTTCCAGACTTTTTTCTGATCGCCATTTGTTTCTTGGAACTGTTTTTCTGCATTCCTTTTTTGTAAATAACGTCTCATATTGTTTAGTTTATTTTTTGCTTTTTTGAACTCGTTCTCGGTGTGATCATTTTGGATTCTCTTCCATCTTATGTATAATTTGTCTCGTTGCCTAAGCATCTTTATGTATGAGTCATTTATCCAATAATTTTTTGTTTGTATTTTAAGTATTTTTTCTGATATATGTTCTTTTTTGGTTTCATTTATGATATTAGCAAGCTGTTCAAATGTTTCTATATTTTCTTGTTCATGCCTCAAACCCACACTATGTAACCATGCCTCTGTATTCAGGTGAACTTTCTTAAAAATTTCCTTCTCTTTACTGAATGTCATTTTTTTTACTTCTATGTAAACTATTCTATGATCAGATATTGAATTATCTGCTAATGTTAGATTGCAAATAATATTCTTGTTTGTTATGATGTGATCAAGTATTGAAGCTGTATTGGTTGTGTGTTGTCTGTGTTTTTAAAAAAAATAATAATATGATGTTAAGATAACGTATATGTAACTCCAAGATGTAATTAGTTATAATAGCTAAATAAACGATTACAACAAAAAATACCATTGATGTTCATGGGCGGCAGCGTCTCGGACAGGACAGCATAATATTTCTCCAATATGATTTCATTTAAATTATCTTCTATCCACATATCTCTTATCTAGAAGTCAACAAAACAAGGCCCTTTCAATTATGACATATTTTCCTTTAGCTTGACCCTAACTTAAAGAGATTTTTCTCTAATATAAGCTCCAGTAAATTAATTGGAGAAATCTTTCAAATCCAATTAGTCTACTTCCTATTCAGGTGGAATAATGTTTCCTCTCGCGTTTTCTTGAGCCATAGATACTGTCATCAGTAAGGGTTTCAACTTGGTTTTCAATTTTGTTAAAATCGACATATGATGTATCATTTAAGCCTTGTTCTACGATTCGTGACAAATCTAAATTAATAGTCATTTTTATAAGCAAAAGTTCCTAATATGACAGTAGGTATCTTTTATTCAGAGCTGCATTTACACATGCTTCTACATTCATGGACAAAATATCTTCTGATGTTACGATAGCAGAATGCTTGGAACTTAAACCAGGAGTTTTTTTTCTCTCTAGGAAAACAGAACTCTTCGTGTATACCAGACACGGTCATATTTACTGTTCGAATTCATTCTATCTAGTTGTTTCATAAAACTTTTGAAGCTGAAATTGATGAGTGCGGAGAATGTTCGATGAAGTCATAGATCTGGACATTCTGAACAATTTTTCCCAAGGGATTGCCTAGATGTTTGGTATATGGAGTTCATAGGTGATTGTTCGGGAGCGCTGACAATAACTTGTTTCAGGTCTGTTATACGTTTCACTATGGAGCAAAAAATCACTCCAAAACATTTTATGAGCGTTTTTTGTTTATATGCATTTATATGTATACCTATATTATTATTATTTTTTAAAAAAGGTCAAGGAAAAGTCTAGGACATAAATATGAGGGGCATAGTTTAGATTGAACAGACACGAAATGGCCCCAAAAGGGATAAGTTGGCAACACTGGATGTTTGTTTGACTTGCACAGATTATCACAACTTAAAATAGTGGTGAGGACGCACTTGAACATTAGAATTTTGAAGGAATACACTCAAGAATACTAAGAGTACATGAGAATACAAAGGAATATATAAGAATACTTGAGATTGCATGAGGTTTGTACACTGGAATACATTGGCGATTTACCCCTTGATTTTAGGGCTCCTTCAGCTCTTTTAATACATTTTTAAAGACGCTGGGTGTGTCATTTAATTTGTAACGTGAAAAATATTTTAAAGAGGTATCTAAAAAGCAGTTTCTATGTAGTTAAAACTAAAAATGTAAATAATCTTGTGAACAACAAAAATGTCAATTAAATTAGAGGGATGATATTTGTCCAACTACCTGAACGATCCCTATAAATTGATTACATGAAAATACCAGAAACATGGAATTTTCTAGCCAACCTTCGCTGCTAAAATAAAATCATAACTTTAAAATTTTGCCTAGTCACTTGTAGGCCAAAAACTCGTATTTATACATTTTCAGTCATTTATCCAAAAAATTTCCTAATACAAGTAAATTACCCTATTTTCACTGCCTAGAATAGATAAGAAAAATGATCGATGAATGTGTTGATATCAGTAATTGAAAAAAATGGAAAAAACCTTAAGTAGATACTCGTTTTTATAAAAACTAAGCTAACTTTCCTTTCTGGCAGTTATATAAAAGAAAAACTCATCGTTATTTAAATAATTTGAAATTTGAAGCCAATACCACAGAGAACACAGGAACAGTACATTAGGAGAAAAGTTTCAATTAAAAAATCTATAAACACAAAAACTTACCAACAAGGGAGTACAGGAACTGCAACAGGAAGACTGTACTAACCGAATTTTCAATTTTATCTATAAAAATTTTCATATTTTCTAATTTTACGCCCACTAGGTTTCACTTTTCAAGAGTTCGAATCCAATTATCAATTATCATCACAAAAGTTGACGTGTTGTTTGGTTTGGATTTTTCGAAATTGAAAGGTGGAAGCGGTAGCTGTCAAAATGACAACATTGACAACAAACACGTGTGGACATCGGTGCGATGTTGCCGGCTGGCCCATGCTTCTTCTAGGTTTGTTTCCACAGAAATCACAAACACGTCAGAGCAAATTTCATTGGTTGAAAATAGTCAGGAAACTGATGTTGGACTTGTTGGCGATTTGGACCAATCAAAAATGGTGTGACTGGTTTGTGATTTCTGTGGGAACAGACCTTCTATGGTCCCATGTTGGTATTGCTGCACTGCCTGCTCAAAAATTCTCTGGTTCTTGGTTCTTTGTTTGTACCAATGAGGGCTCGTTTCTCAATAGCGAGTCACCCCCGGGTTAATCATTACTCCAGGGTAAACATAGCAACTCAACACGCTTACCTTGGAGTTGAAACCAATCCGGAGGTGACTGGATATTGAGAAACCGGCCCAATAGTTAGAAGGTTTCGAATGGCCCCTTGCCTATCTACTCAATATGTATATTGGCAGACAAGATTAGAGTGAGAGAACGGGAGAGATCCGTGAGATTTTCTAATATTTTTTTATTCGTTTTGTACCAATAATGCAATGACATTACATTACATTACATTATACAATTACGTGTTATTGGTTTGTACCTACTTCGATCAACTTATTTTTCGCTACGTATACTCTTTGGTTGGCTTGGCTGGAGCTATGATTAATCAGGGGGTGACTTGAGAATCCGGCCTTTAGGAACTTGAGAGCCCGCTACCAGTGATGACGTAAATAACGTGTCGTTTCTTGCCTTGGCGTGATGTGTTTGCGCCACAGGCTATGATTTCGCTGGCTTTTGCTTTAACTTTAATGCATAAATGATTTAAGTACATTAATTAACATTCCAAAACAAACCTTTTCCAGATCTCGTTTGCATCTTCCTCTGCCTATTAAATTAGTATATTAAAGTATAAGTGGATATTTTTTTTTATTGGTATACGTTCAAACCATACATTACTAATAATTGTAGAATGCTAAATTTGTGCTTGACATTTGTTACATTTTAATTGACGTTATCTCTACAAGTACCTACTCCTGACAAATCAATAATTAAAAAGTTGACATTTAGACCTTTCTCGGGTTGTTGGTTGTTGATGTTGTCATTGGTAACTTTAAAACACGCGCGTTTTTGAATGTTGGATTTAAACACGCTGAGGAGTACTTTAAATAAGTGAAATAGGTTATCAATAAAAAAAAATATTTTTCTTATAAATGCATAAATGTATATTCTAAAATACGACCGCTGGCGCACACCCCTGAGACGTCAACCAAGGTGCAACACAAGTAGTGTGTAATTTCCTTGTGTGACTAAAGATTTGAATGAATGCCAAAGTAGTTCGAAATTTATTTATTCTGGAGTCGTATTTTCGAATTCATTCCAGTACACTTCGTACACGAAATTTGATTGACAGCAATGTAAATTAAATGGGGAGCATTCGAAATCGTATCTAATTTCGTATGCGAGAATATTCGAAAATACGACCCCTGACTTGAACCACACTGTACTAGTTGTATTCCTTTCACACCTAGGAGGAGCTCCGAAACAGCTCCGAGGCGTTGTAGGCGTTACGCGCTTATTCCTTTCGAAAAGTGTTTGTTGCACCCCGCATCTCACCCTTCAAAATCGTGCTCGACTAACACCGGAGCGAGTAGCTCGAGTGGTCCAAACTCTTGAAAAGAATACAACTATGGCCTGTTTCTGCAGAAATCACAAACCAGTCAGAGTGAATTTCATTGGTTGAAACTAGTTTTCTGACTGTTTCTGACTGTTTTCAGCCAATGAAATTTGCTCTGACTAGTTTGTGATTTCTGCAGAAACAGACCTGTTTCGTGTATCTAATCTTTAGCATTTTTCAATAATCTCCATTGTAAAACACACTCTTTTTCACGATTTCATGTAAAATAACTTTAAAAAAAACTTATTATCAGTTATTGTGCATTCAACTATTTTCTCAAGGTTATTTGAGAGAGGTAGGTTGCCAGGGATAACTGAATGACGTCATCAAGGGTGCCTCAACTATAATAGTTGTATGTTGTATTCCTTTCACACCTAGGAGGAGCTCCGGAACAGCTCGTGGGCTGCACGCGCTTATTCCTTCCGAAAAGTGCTTGTTGCACCACGCATCTCTTCCCTGCAAATCGGGTGCGACTAAACACCGGAGCGAGTAGCTCGAGTGTTCCAAACTCTTGAAAAGAATACAACTATGGCCTGTTTCTGCAGAAATCACAAACCAGTCAGAGTGAATTTCATTGGTTGAAACTAGTTTTCTGACTGTTTCTGACTGTTTTCAGCCAATGAAATTTGCTCTGACTAGTTTGTGATTTCTGCAGAAACAGACCTGTTTCGTGTATCTAATCTTTAGCATTTTTCAATAATCTCCATTGTAAAACACACTCTTTTTCACGATTTCATGTAAAATAACTTTAAAAAAAACTTATTATCAGTTATTGTGCATTCAACTATTTTCTCAAGGTTATTTGAGAGAGGTAGGTTGCCAGGGATAACTGAATGACGTCATCAAGGGTGCCTCAACATAATAGTTGTGTGTTGTATTCCTTTCACACCTAGGAGGAGCTCCGGAACAGCTCCTGGGCTTCACGCGCTTATTCCTTTCGAAAAGTGTTTGTTGCACCACGAATCTGTTCCCTGCAAATCTGGGGCGACTAAACACCGGAGCGAGTAGCTCGAGTGTTTCAAACTCTTGAAAGGAATACAACTAATGCAAATCTGCAAAAGGCACCCCAGATGCATCTAAGTTATCGATTACCACACAACCTATTAACTTAAGGAGCCTTGCTATTTTCCAAGCAAAATCATGCTCAAAATATGTTGGATATTTTAATGGACATGTAAAATAATCTACAAATAATAATTATTACAAACGTTTTTATTAATTTTTAGTTTCGATAACAGTTTCATTATTTTCGTCAGTTTCCATTTCTTCCTCATAATCATCATCTGTCAGTTTGGTTCCAGTATATTCTAAATAAAAAGAAAAATCCTCAAGATTTTGAATAATTTCTGGAACTTTATGAGGGACCCTTACAGAAACCAGCTTTGCAATAAGATTAGCTTTTGCAAAAGCCATTGCAAATTTATCTTCTTTTGAAATTTCCGTAATAATTAGGTTACTAACATCTGTATCTGGTTTGGGTACGAACTGTTCATACTCCTGTTTGGTCACAGAATGATTATGATAATTTTCTACATTAAATACCTCAAGAAACTTGCCATCTTCAGTGATTTTTATGGTTATTGATGCTGGACAAACACCAACATGACTTTTTTTTGATTTGCTGAATACAAATAAAAATAAAGTTATACCCAAAGATTCAATTTATTTTAAATAATTACCCTCCCACTGTTTTTCCACCGGTTTCTTTAAGTTTACCATTGCAGAATATGCAAGCATATTTCAAATTGTAATATTTCAACTCTGGTTTGCAGTTGTGTTTTAGTGTCCTCTTCACTGATTCAAAAGGTAGACATTTGGTTATGTGAAAATACACGTAATTGTCTCTACATGCTTTTTTAAATTTGGTATCGAGTTCTTCAAAACTACCAAATCTTTCACCCAAATTAAACCCTAAGTTTACAATAGCTTCTTTTCTTCTGTCATACTCGTCTGGTTTCTCTGAATTTTCAGACTCAAATTCAAACATGTTTTGGGGTTTTAAGTTTATGTTTAAACTAGAAGTAGAAAATATTTAGTGTTTGGGTTTAGTTTACATTACAATATATTGCGAATGCAATATACCTACTAGGAGGACTTTTGAACACAGAGAAAATTTACTTATGCAATATAAATGAGTAGGTATAAAATCGAAAATAAATAAAATAAAAAAATGACACAAATGAGTATCAAATGGTATCAAATAATTCAAATATCAAAGCACATATGAAAGTATCAAAATCAAAACAAAAAACAAAACAAATGGTCGGGTTCATGGCAGGACGTAGCGCTACAGTAGCGATCATCAACAGTCAGTGTTGCCAGGTCATATTTCGTTTTTTCAGTAGGCTACCAGTCTAAATATCAGTAGAAATCAGTAGACAGATAAGTTGCCTAGTTAAAGGGATAAAGGGTATACTCATTAGGGTATATCTACTCAATTAATTGTTTTTGTTACATTTTTCAAATCATTGAATCTTTAGACTGTGAAAACTTGCATTGGAAAATCAAACACCAAACTATGGAAAATAGTTTATCAAGAGCCGTGAAATATTCCTATTTAATATGCACTACCACTACCAAAGAATGCACTACCTATGTAGTATGTAGGTAGTTAGTATTCTAGTCTCTGATAAAAACAGGTGAAACGGCTGCAGTTAGTTGTACAGCAGCATAACGCTATAACCGTTTTCACGTGGCTCCGGCTTAACAAACCGCAACATACTGCTCAAATTCGAGTGGTAGGTATCCATCACGTCACTTTGTAACCTGGTTAGAAAACGGTATGTCATTTCTCTAACCGTTTTGTAACCCGGTTAGTTAAACTGGAACCACGTGAAAAGAACTTATGTGACCAATTGACTAACCAACATCAACGCATGCCTTTAGGCAACCGGCAAGACAAAAGGCAAGTAAACAAGACACAACACAAGCACGCACGAACCCCGGGGATTACCCATTTCCCAGTAGGCTGCGCCTGCACTGCGAGCGTTCGAATGTTCCAATACATACCACACCGGACTGATCGGAGTTATCGGGCGTCAGCGTTTCCGATTGGTAGATTTAGTGCGGAACTAGTGCAATTTTTTCTATTTCTGTCTTTTTCTTCTACAGGTCGATTAAAAGGATGCAAATACACTCAGTGCGCACTGAATTTACCAATCGGAAACGCCAAACAGTCCTAAGAGTTCTAGCCCACAAGTCAAGCATGAAATTATTGCTGTGACATTCTCATACATGATTATAATTTAAAAAATATCATAAAAAGCGGTTAAATAATGACAGCTGCTTTTATCAGTAGAATTCACATTGATATCAGTATATCAGTAGACCAATGGCCAAATCAGTAGATCTACTGATAAATCTGTAGACCTGGCAACACTGTCAACAGTGTTGCCAGTTTATTACAAATGTAGCAAATCTATTACATTTATCAAAGGTAAATTATTTACATTATTACATTTCGAATAAATCTATTATATTTTCACTTATTTAACCAAAAATTATTAAAATAATGGGTTCCGCTTGAAACACTGAGTGCTCGGACCATTTTCCATCTTTTTTTCCTTTTGGTGAGAAGAACAGCGCTAAAATTTGCTACAATTGTAATGATTTGGCAACACTGCTGATGATCCCTATTGTAGCGCTACGTCCCTGATGAACCCGACCCGACCATTACAAACTTAAGGGCTAAGTTCCGATATCAACTGTCAGTACTGAATTTACTGAACGCCGTTCCGATATTATTTTCAGTAAACTGGATTCAGTCAATTCAGTACTGAATGACCACAAGAATACGCTGTTGAAATCGGAATGGCAAATGACAGTAAAATCAGCACAGTACATCCAGTACTGGCAGATATCGGAACATAGCCCTTGCCAACCGTCCTTAGATACTAGAGAGGAGGACTTATCGAAACGATATTCTTTTTCATATCGATATTAATAGGAGAAAATGTCGATACGATATTTCTGATTTTTTTGAAGATTGCCGGGACTAGAAGGGCTCCTCGTAAATCCGTGCCGTCGAATAATGTCCAGGTCCAGGAGAAAACTGCTCCTATTGCTCGTTCTTTCATTATTAATTATTTTTTATTTTAAAATATTTCTTATGAATTATATGTGACTGGAAAAATATTGGTAAAACACCGATGCAATTACCAAAACCAGCCATTGACGTTCGATTAAGAAAAAATAAGCCTCTCTATGCCATTCCATTCTCTGTCTCTATTCTATTGATTTGATATGATAAATTTCTATCGATAAACACTATTATCGATATATTGGATCGGTGGACGATGAACCTTCCCACCAGGGTCCTTATTCTTGAAACAGGGGAGCAGCGTTCCCAGTAGAACGAGTGTTCTGTCTTTCTCGATGATATGCAAATGATAATATAAGTAACAAAGATGGAACACTCGTTCTCCTGGAAACGCTGCTTACCTGTTTCAAGAAATAAGGATCCAGCTCACAGGGGACCTTGGTTTCTGAAATCTGGTTAACCAGAGCTACAGACCAGAGCCAATTTCAAGCGATTGACCAGTCAGTCATCTTGACAGATAAGCAAGGCATTTAACGTCTGTATTTAACGTCAGTTAAGCCTGCCCCTCTGAACCCATCATTCACTTGACCAACATAATGAAAAAAGTCACGGGTGCAACTCGTTCATCTATCTATCTGCCTCTAAAGGCGGGTATTATAAAACTGCTTTGACAGTTAACTTGAAGTTAACTTTTTGAATTACATGTAATTTCAAAGTTAACTTTAAGTTAACTCTCAAAGTAGTTTTATAAAACCCGCCCTAGCTCATATGATAGTCCGATGGACGCGTTGACATGCCAATCGATTGCAGAGCATGTTCCGCTGTTTCACAAACCGGCGTTTCCAGTAGTCGTTTTTAGTCTTGAAACTCCAAAGTCCAAATTTTTGAAGCAAAGTCATAACAGGATAAATTATCAATCTCTTACAATTTGACGACCAAATTGGAGGGGATACACCAGTGGTGGATTGCTCTCCTACATGTTAGCGACACTAAATTTTGTTTACTGTAATGTCTATCGTTGTTAATATGTTATTGCACACTACTACTACAGGATATAGCCCAACGACGTAGCTATAGTTTTCACATGGGGGGGGGGGCTTAGAGCAGTGGCGGCTCATGGTCTATGCTGGAAGGGGTTTCAATTTTAGACCAGACGATGTATATGTGAGTATGTGACCGGTCGTAGCATAGCCAGAGCTGTTTCGAGTTCAGGCAAAATGTACTCGGGTACTGGGTACAAGTACTTAGCTTAAAATGTTAGCTTAAAGTATTCAATAACCAAGTATTCAAAGTACCGAGTACATTTATGAATACATTCTAATGCCACCTTGCATACCCAATGACGTCATAGGTACAAGTTATTACGCAACGTCCCTCTTTTAAACAGCTTTGATCATTGATATGAAAATCTAATGACACCTTATTGGCCGCAAGCGCTGAGGTAGCTGCGCACTTAGCATTGCACATGGGTTATGACATCACCTCCCCTTTCACACTTCCGTCCACAATATCACAGTGCACAGAAAAGTTCAAAATTTTCGTTTGCAAATCACAACGATCAACGGAAAGTATGCTAAGCATCTGTACGCTAAACAAGAAATGCCTGAAATTGGTCATATCGTAACATAATGTCAGGTCTCAACTTGTCTGGAAATGTACTTGTGGCCAAATAAATATATACTTAGAGTCCAATAGTTTTACTCAGTAACTGCAAATGTATTCGAAAACAATGAAAATACACGGGACCCGGGTTTAAAATGTATGCAAGTACGCGATTCAGAAAGTATCTTGGCCTGAGTGAAGAGTACTTGTACCGTATCCGAGTACCGCACAGCTCTGAAGCCCAGGATATCGTCAAAGGCGAAATTTTTTTTCGGGTGCCTCGCCCAAAAACGTTAATTTTTCTTCAAAAAAATAATTTATTTAGTTCAATGAGGGGGGTTCGAACCCCCAAATCCCCCCTTATATGCGTCCTTGATATAGCCTATCCTCATAAGGTGGAACAAATCTGAAGCCCCCGCCGCGCCAAATCACCAGTTGTGACGTAAGAGCATGTCGTTTCTCGCCTTAATGTAGGCTGTTTGCAAGGATGATATACACCTACAGGATGGCTTATCGGCCTCGTTTTTGGTAATTGCCGCCATATTGGTGTGTTACCATTTCCGACGTCATAACTAAATCGTCAGCTGTTTAAACAGCCTATTCCACGGCGAGAAATAACATGCTGCCTACGTTACAACTGGTAATTTGGCTTGGGGGGGATTTGTTACACACAGGCCTTGTGAGGATAGGCCACCCTGTAGTAGTAGTGTGCACTGTGTATCATCCTCTGGGCTGTTACTACAGGTTATGATTCCGCTGGCTTTTGCTTTAAGGCCCATAATCCTCAATCAATCTGGTAGCGAAGTGGCACTTCGGCACGCGTGCTGGAAAATTATTAGATTGGTACCCATCCTCAATGCTGAATTTTATTTTAGTATTTTCTACCTTACTGCGCAGCGCATGACATAAGTCGGCAAGCATGGAAAAAGCTTGCAGCTTGCAAGCTTGCACAAAATCCTAACATGCGTGCCGAAGTGCCACTTCACTACCAGATTGATTGAGGATGGGCCTTCTTATGCATACTTGTTTTGCTACAATAAATAACATTCTAATCTAACTACTCTTTTTTAGATCTCGTTTTCACCTTCCTCTTTGCCCATTAAATCAGAATTAAATAATTACTTTCTTCATAAATTTAAATTCTAAACTACGACCGCTAGTGCAAACAACTGACGACTTAGTTATGACGTTGGAAATGGTGACACATCAATCTGGCGGCGATTACCAAACACGAGGCCGCTAAGCAATCCTTAGTAGTGTGTATTATCCTTGATGGTTACCGGCCATCGGATGTCGATCGACGTTGGTTCGATTGGTTTTATTAGGCAATCCATCTATCGAATTGAAAAATTCAATATGGCGTGGCGGCCAGCAAGTTTGTTTCGAACATGTATTTTCATGCATATTTTAATTATTTTAAGTCTGGCAGAAACTAGATATTTTTTTGTGTTTTTTGGTCCATGTGTGGCCGCCACGCCATCTTGAATGTCACGTGGTTTGGATTGCCTAAGGGCGGGTATTATAAAACTGCTTTGACAGTTAACTTGAAGTTAACTTTTTGAATTACATGTAATTCAAGAAGTTAACTTTAAGTTAACTCTCAAAGTAGTTTTATAATACCCACCCTAATTCAATGAACACCTCAATAGTTCTTTTCACGTGGCTCCGGTTTAACTAACCGGGTTGGTTACAAAACGGTTAGAGAAATGACATACCGTTTTCTAACCCGGTTACAAACTGACGTGATGGATACCTACTACCACTCGAATTTGAGCGGTATGTTGCGGTTTGTTAAACCGGAGCCACGTGAAAAGGGTTAATGGTTTTTTTATTGGTCGTTTCTGTCAATTATTTTTTATTTCGATCTAAGTTCTTTTCACTTGGCTCCGGTGTAACTAACCGGGTTACAAAATGGTTAGAGAAATGACATACCGTTTTCTAACCCGGTTACAAAGTGACGTGATGGATACCTAAAGACCGTTTTTTTTTTAAAGATAATTCCCCAAGTCAAAAATTTAGTAACTATGTTGGCAGCACAAGCCTTTCATACATAAAAAAATTGGAAGCATTGACAATTTTACATTAACCTTTTTCACGTGGCTCCGGTTTAACAAACCGCAACATACCGCTCAAATTCGAGTGGTAGGTATCCATCACGTCACTTTGTAACCGGGTTAGAAACCGGTTTGTCATTTCTCTAACCGTTTTGTAACCCGGTTAGTTAAACCGGAGCCACGTGAAAAGAACTATTGTATTGCCAACATAATGTCACTTTTGTCGATTAAAGGCGATTAACCAGTCGGTTATATTGACAGATAAACGATGCATTTAACGTCATTTATAACCGATTGGTTGACAAATGACGTTTGCTTCATTGATTATCTGTCAACTATGACCGACCGGTTAATCGCCTTTAATCGATGTTTGACTTTTATCTTTAAATAAAAAACAGATTTTACCACTCGAATTTGAGCGTTATGTTGCGGTTTGTTAAACCGGAGCCACGTGAAAAGGGTTTAAGTTTATTTCATACAACCAATGAACTATAGCCAAAAACTGGAATGCGTGCACATTAGTTGTATTCCTTTCACAACTAGGAGGAGCTTCGGAACAGCTCCGGGGCTTCACGCCCCTATTCCTTTCGAAAAATGTTTGTTGCACCACGCATTTGTTCCCTGAAAATCGGGGGCGACTGAGCACCGGAGCGAGTAGCTCGAGTGTTTCAAACACTTGAAAGGAATACAACTAGTGCCATATCTGCCCAAAAAATGAAGCCATGAAAGACAGATGCCACAAGGGGGAATGTTTTTTTTTTCTGTTGCTCGCTGACATATGACGTTTTCGAAAGTTTTGTCATATTTTCCTTCACAGGTTTCATCAATTGGAATACGTCTTGGAAGCAATTTTCGCCATTTAACATAATGAGTGCGACAAAAACAGGTAGGTATCCCTACAGTGGCTAAAAAAACCTTTACATACAGTGGCGACAATAGAGTTCCCGCCGCCATCTTGTTCCCAACCTCTTGTTACTTTCAAATATTAATATATAAGATTTAAATAGACATCTATCATAAAAAATTAAAATCGGCATATTTGATGACCATTATTAGGTTCATCAAATACGTTGTTTTCCATGTTTTATGATGGATGTTCACCTAAATCCTATATATTCATATTTAAAAGTAACAAGAGGTTGGGAACAAGATGGCGGCATTTTCAATATAAACATATGGGATTTTTGAACCAATCAAAAATGAGACCGCAATTGTCGCCACTGTTATTTTTTCAATCGGCGACCGAACTTGCGTTGCCAGTAACCGGAATTTTCAGTAGTAACCACTTGTCACCCGATTCGGTTCCTTTGGTTAACGTTTGGTTATATTCGTACCATGGCCTCCATGAACAAATGAACACTCCTTTCGAAGAAGAATTCAATTTGGCCCGGCCCATAACCTAATGAATGTCCTTTATTTGACATTTCTAATCAAAACAAAAATCAAAAATAGAATTTGAATTTTTATCCACATAACAAAATGCATTTTTTCAATTATTAATTATTTATTGTTTACTCAATTATTTGGGAATATGGCAAAGGAAAAGTAAAACGTAATCGAATAATCATTATCTAGTCAAATTCAAATTTCAGTTATGACTTCCCAAAGTAATTGTTTGGATGATTTGAATTTTGATCAATTTATCAAGACTGCAAATTATGAAGAGACTGTTAGGCAACTGGATATTTATTATGGAATGGGTAGGAGTTAATTTTGTTCTAATTAAATTACTAACTATACCTACTCACATAATATGTAGCTATTTCTATAACTTTAGATATTAAAATATTAACCTACTCTTTAGTACATTCATGGACAGTAGCTGCTACAGCACTATAATTTTGACTGTTATCTGGGGCAGTTCTGCTATAGCAGTAAAAAAAAAATTAAAGGAAATCACCACTGTGCAAGACTTAATAATTTCTGTATGGCTACACATTCTCTTATGTTTAATGTCCCACATCAGTCCGTCAGAATATTGAGCACTGGCCTATGAATTGAAAAAAAATTACATTTGTAACACATGTTTTCTTACAAATGGGAAGTGCTGTCAGGGTAACTACGGGACACTATACTGCTATAGAAGTACTATTATTATAGCAGTAAGGTATCCTGTGACATCCCAAAATGACCCTGGGTACCTACTACTATAGCAGTAGCCCTTAAAAATTTTCAGGGTAAGTAGGTATAGGTACTCTAAAATCACCACAAAAATGTGAGCCAAATCAGACAAAGAGTTCAAAAGTTATATTAGTAAATCTTCCAAGCACCCCCACTAATTGTGGTACTGTCCGTGAATGTAGGTCTATAAACCTAGCAGTCCCAAGGTGGAAAAAAACTTCGGGAACTATATAATAATTAGGTGCTTTTTAGGTGCTAATCAGGGCCTCTAATTAAAAATTAGGTGCTCCTTTAGTTTCTGAGAAAATCAAAAAAAACTAAGGGACTGCTCAGTTTATAAAAGCTAGCAGTCCCCTATAGTAGAAAATATTTTTTCAAATTTTTTCTTTGTATCAGAATTAGGTGCTTTATAGGTGCTCCTAAATAGTCGAAGAACAAATAGAATTGATTAATTATTAACTGAGTTACAGTCAGAATGGCAAGAAAACTTCGGGATCTATATAATAATTAGGTGCTGGTCAGGGCCTCTAATTAAAAATTAGGTGCTCCTCTTGTTTTTGAGAAAATCGAAAAAAAAATAGTTAATATTTAATCAATTCTATTTTTTCTTCGACTATTCAGGAGCACCTAAAAAGCACCTAAGTAATTCTGATATAAAAGAAAATGTTGGAAGAATATTTTTTACTATAGGGTTCTACTAGCTTTCATAAACCTAGTAGGTAATCCCTTAGTTATTTTTTGATTTTCTCAAAAACAAGAGGAGCACCTAATTTTTAATTAGAGGCCCTAATTAGCACCTAAAAAGCACCTAATTATTATATAGTTCCCGAAGTTTTTTTCCACCTTGGGACTGCTAGGTTTATAGACCTCGTGAATGTATTGAGTGGCAGAAATAAATGTGATTCCTTATTTTTACAGTAAAAAGACAGCTGTTGAGATACCAGAGCCATATTACCGGTTTGTTTCCTGTTTTATCAGTTGACACTGAAATTGGAAGTGTTCGAGAAAGTGTATATTGTGCTGCTGCAGTTTGGGGATTGTATCAGGCCTACAGGTAAATAAATACTTTGAAGAAATCAGAAAAGGAATTGTTTCATGTTTTTGGACAAAATGTCAGTAGCACCTAAGACCTAGATGGTTATTTAAATTTTAAGAGAAAAGCAAAAGAGCTGTTCTTATTTTCTGAGGTATATTCTTTTTTAAAAGTAGGTGGGAGGGTAAGGTGAATGCTGGACCCGGAACCCTGACACAACTTTAAAATGGGGTGCCTCATTTTTGAAAACAAATAGTGGAGTGAATGCAAAAAGAAACAGTTCTATAAACAGATATTAAGTAATTCCTCCGAAATCTCTCGAAATCTTTCCGCAGACCCAAAAATCCTCGCAATTGGCTCAAAATTCATAAATCGCTCAATGCGGCCGTTTTTCAGTTTATACTAATACACTCTCGAATATACTTATATAAGATAAGTAACAGTCTAAAATCAAATTAAAATATTTGCGAAATCACCTGTAATTTTCCGAAATCCCCCAAAATCCTTCGAAATCACCCGAAATCCTTCGAAATCAACCGAAATCCCTCAACATCGCTCTAAATCTGAAATCTTGTCACAGTGAATAATCCCTCGAAATCTTTCCGAAATCCTACCAAAATCACCCGAAATCCCTCAAAATCGCTCTAAATCCGAAATCTTGTCACATTTTCTCCTTAGTGAATAACCCCCCAGGTATCCCCGATAGGCCCAGTCTACTCGAAACTACACTTGTACAGCCAAAACCGTCAAACCGTCAACTATCCATTAATCCAACCTTCACTCGCCAGCTAGGAATGCACCACTGTAAACACTTACCATAAATACCTAGTAAATTAGTGCGACAAAAGGGGTCCAGGACAACTATGGCATTAGGCTCCCCCAGTCTTCCCTGCCTTGAAGATTCAGTCGAATTATGAACTGTTTTTTGGGAATTGATGCACATATGTAATTTCACCTGGAAGAGAAAAGTAATAATCAGCAACTGGATCCGTGCAATCATGTCCACCATTTTCAGTCATTCGTGGCCATCTCCAGAGCAAAAACCAGTTTGCAAGTTTTGCAGTTTGTCCAATGTCCAAAGTAATGATGACAAAACTGGAAAAGACGTTGAAGACAAAATGGACATAGAAAAGAGAAACCTGGAATATTAGATACATGTATTATTATTATGCCTGAAAAAGACAAAAATTTACTATTATTATCAACCACCCAATGGAATCCATAAAGCCTCTGTTGAGAGAGAGAGCCAAAACCAACTTGCTTCCTAGTTCAATTTGGAAGAGGAATGCCTGGAAAACAACTTTATGTTTGTGGAAATTCAGTGTAGAAATGTTAGAAATTACCTATTTCAGCTTCCAATGATATCCTACCCTGAAAAAAATTAAATATCCAACGGTGTCCAGGGCATCCTACCCTAAAATATCCAACGATGTCCAGGGCATCCTACCCTAGAATATCCAAGGGTGTCCAGGGCATCCTACCCTGAAAAGCATAAAATCGTCATAAAGATATCCTGAAAAGTATGAAAATCAAAACAATGCAGTTTATCAGGAACAGGGAAAGGAAATCTTGTTTTAGGGTTTACAATGTTCTGGAAAGACCTTTGGAAGCAACTTGAAGGGGCTCCTAATGTCCAGGAAGCTATGTGGAAGCTTCATCTGAAACACACAAAACAAAAATTTATTCAGCTGTTAATATTCTTGAAACAACTTATGTCCAGGAAGCTGCCTGATGATGTTGATATTGTCTTCATCTGGTACACACAAATCAAAATTATCGAAGAGAGCATTCAGCTGTTCTGTCCCTTTGGACTTGATCCACTATTGAAATTACATTGTACCGACACCCAACAGCATCCATAATTTAACTCCTTCTCGCCAGTATCAGTTTTGCCCCTGCTACACTTACTGTGATAGTATATTAGTGCAGCAAATGAGATCCAGGACAACTATGGCATTAGGCTTCTCCGCGGTGCAGCTGGTACCAAAAAGAAACATTCAAACCACAAATGTTGGTGGATATTGGTAAAGTGCAACTTCAAATTTTTGATTTTGATTGAATGAAGAGTTTACAACCAAATGCTCAATTAATATATGTGGAAAATGTCCTATTAGCTTGCATTTTTTTGTTTTAAGACTTACACACCTCAATTGAGATTTTCACCAGAAATAATTGAGAGTCTATTTACTTGATCAGGTTCAGAAGATTCTGGACTTTCTTGGGGGAAGCTCACCTAAAAAATAACACAATTTTTATGGATATCAATGAACTCTTTTACATTTGATATTTTCCTGGAAAACTACTGAAGGGAAAATTGTGAAACTTCCAGGAGGGAAAGAGGAAAGTTAGAAGCTCATCATACTGAAATTTGAAACTCATGTCCAGTGACAAAATACAAAATGGGGAATTAATGGAAATCAACTTGCAAAAAAAGTAAGCAAAAATTTACCCTCTTACATTTTGATTTTTTTCTGGGAAATTCCTGAAGGGAGAATTATGAAACTTTCAGCAGAAAAAGAGGAAGGTTAGGAGCTCATCATATTAAAATTTCAAACTTTTTCAGTGAAAAATAACATCATAAGAAATTGATGAAAATCAACCAAATTAGGCAAACATGCACCCTCTTACATTTTAATTTTTTTTCTGGAAAACCACTGAAGGGAAAATTATGAAACTTCCAAGAGAAAAAGAGGAGGGTTATTAAGAGCTCATCATACTAAAATTTCAAACTTTTCCAGTGAAAAATAACAAAATTGGAAATTAATGGAAATGAATTTGCAAAATTCAAATTAGGCAAAAATACACCCTCTTGCATTGCAATTTTTGTCTGGAAAACTACTGAAGGAAGAATTTTGAAACTTTTACGGAAAAAAGAAGAAAATTAGGAGCATCATTATACAAACGTTTCCAGTGAAGAATAACAAAATAAGAAATTAATGGAAATCAACTTGCAAAATTCAAATTGAGCAGAAATGCACCCTATTGCATTTTATTTTTTTCCTGGAAGGCCACTAGGGAAAATTATGAAACTTTCAGGAGAAAAAGAGGAAGGTTAGGAGCTCATTATACTAAAATTTCAAACATAACAAAATGGGAAATTAATGGAAATCAACTTGCAAAATCCAAATTAGGCAAAAATGCGCCCTCATGCATTTCATTTTTTTCTGGAAAACTACTGAAAGGAAATTTATGGAACTTTCAGAAAAAAAAGAAGAAGAAGACAGTTAGGAGCTCATCATACTAAACTTTCAAACTTATCCAGTGGAAAATAACAAAGTTGGAAATTAATGGAAATCAACTTGGAAAATCGAAATTAAGCAAAAATGCACCCTCTTGCACTTTGATTTTTCTGGAAAACTACTGAAGGGAAAATTATGAAACTTTCAGGAGAAATAGGGAAAAGTTAGGAGTTCATCATACTAAAATTTCAAAAATAAATATGTACCTCTCAAAAATCTGTCTAGCAATTTTCAAGAAGTGATATTGATTAGGCTCAGATGACTTCTGGACTTTGTTTGCTTATAGGAGGGCTCACCTAAAAATAATAACACAACGGCAGGAAAATTGTTCGTGGATTTGTAGTTTGATGACTCAAATCAATTAACATGTGCTAAAAACCTGGAAAGAGCATTAAAAAAACATCAAAATTATTTATAAAACCTCAACATCAGCAGAAGTTTAATTTATTTATAGTGGACCACCCTGTACTTAATTCATTGTTTACATGAAAACATGAGACATAATCCAGACATTTGAGAAATGCAACCAGCTCTAATAATTTATGTTTTTGTTAGTGGATTGGAAGAAACTGCTCATATAAACATAAAGAACATGTCAACACAAAGTTTCAAAGTGTCCAGATTTTTCAGGATAATTAACTTGGCTCCTGGATTATTATTAAGCCAACTAATCAACTATTGACCGAATTCCCATAAATCCTTTAATGACTGGCTTTCCAAGAGTTGCACCCAACACCTCCATGAGTGTCTCAAAAAATTGAATACCTTCAAATTGCCTTTTTGAAAAATATAGTTACAACTGGATAGCTACATATCTCTCTAGCAATCAGCTAAAGAGTATTTTTGTGTAATAATATACACCTTCATATTGAATTCATTTTGGAAATAGCTGAAAATGTTAGTGGACTACCATTAGCAATTACCGAAAGTTTAGGTTAGTGTTAATCTGGGTTAGTAGTTGTGTTGGGTTGTTGCTTATGGTAGTGGCTTGAAATTTACAATAATAAGGACTTTTAAGACATTAGAGCCTTACACAAAAACATCTCTGGATGATTTCCAGTGACAGTATAGCTAACATTTGCAGCTATGGATTTAAAGTGGCTTAAATAGCCATTCAATTGAAAACTGAACAAAAATCAATTTTTTTTGGGACACTTCAGCATTTTATTATAACAGTACCTACATCCAGCATACAGCATTCTTTTCAAACAGTACACAGCATTATCTTACAGCAGCACCTACATCCAAAATTTTCGTGGATCATTCATTTCACACAGAATTCATTCATACTTTCTCCTTTTTTAACGCACTTTTGGAAAGCCAAGTCAAAAAAAAATTATTAATGGAAATAGGTGCATAAGATTTTCTGGAAAACTTCTTTCTCTGGCATTAAAAGCTTTAATTCCTGGACCTGGACTCTCTATAAAATTTACTAATTGCCTAATAACTAGGTATTTAAATAAAAAAACATTAAGTAAGAAAGTTCTGCATTGTTCCAGAATCAAAATTTGACAATTTTATCAGAAAAATCAAAAGGTTGCTCATTCAAATTAAAGAAATCCCAATTACCAAAAAATAATGTTGGTACTACTCACCAAAATCCTGTAGCCATTGGTACACTGAGCACACGACGCGATAATCGGAAAGTGGCGGCCGAAAAATCTTAACTTGTTGTGTGAGAAAAATCGATAATTTCCGCTCGCGATTGTCGGTACTTTATCTATCGGCAATCGATACTCTACTAAATCCCTTTGACTTTTGTCTTGTCCGACAAAGAAATCCGAATCTCAAACACCCGCCAACCCAAAAAAAAAAAGTAAACTGATTATAAATATGAGAAAGTGAGATAGGCAAAAAAACTAACTGCGTAGTAGATTAGTATCCTGATGGCAAGTGTATATCCCCTGTTTCTAGCTATACAGGGCCGAATTAGTACTAATTTTTTTTTTAAAGTTTATTTTAGCTTTGTTCCAACAAAGCAGAAAACTGTACATAGTACCGTCAAGATTTTGCGCAAAGCCTAGAATCCGAAAATCGTATACAAAGTGGCTTCGAAACCGTTCTTGGGACGGTTTTGGAACAAACCTTCATTATAACTTTCTATTTTTGTCTATTCCACGTTCTAGGCTGTATAAAATAATTTCAATGTTTTTAAATTGTTCAAAATGTCGCTGGAAAGTGTTCTAACTTGGCTTGAAGCTTCTCAAGGAAGTTTTGTGTGCCAGATGGGCTCAAAATACTTAAAGTAGAAATTGGAATGGGGGTTTAAGGAGACATTAAAAAATCATCAAAATAATTTGGTTCCTATATTGGTGCCGAGTTCTTCAAGCACGCAACAGATCCTCTAGAGCTAGTCGTCTTTTCTAACACTTATTACCTGGAAAATCAAATTAGGAATAGTTTTATCAAACTTTAAACAATAACTTTTGAGAATCTGGAGGTTGAATAATTGGTGCTTGAGCCAAAATTTGAGCTTGTCTATTTTCGGACATAATCAATTAGAAAAAATAGGTGAAAATAAAAGAGGTATTCAAAAAGTGGGGGCCCCAGAAATTATCATACGTTGTGAGGCCTCCAAAATCAAAGAGTAGTGCCCTAGAATTCCTTTATTGACAAAATTTATTTGTTCTATGTTTATAGGAGAATCGATGACGACAGAGGAAAGTCATACGAACTAGGACAATCGACTGTAAAATGCATGAGAGGGATTTTAGGTAGGTGGTTTTCATACACTCAAAAAATTAGGTGTTGAAAAATTATAATATTTTTCAAGAATGCTGGATGAAACAAGCCTTTCGCGTGGAGTTGTTCAAAAAGAACCAATGCGCAGCTCACGCTTTGCACGTAAAATTCCATCTCACGACTGGAAACGAAGTGTTCTCAGACGACGAGTACAACCATTTGCAAATTGATGTCATATCCATCTATCTATTGTTTTTAGTACAAATGATTTCTTCTGGGTTACAGATAATTTATACACAGGTGAGCATTTGCTATACCTACATTTCAATCACACATATTAATATTTTTTGCACTTAGGATGAAGTAGCTTTTGTTCAAAATCTAGTTTACTATGTTGAAAGAGCGTATAGAACTCCAGATTTTGGAATGTGGGAAAGAGGAAGCAAGTATAATGATGGCAATCCTGAGATTCATGCTAGTTCGATCGGTAGTTATATAAAAAATGTTGATTAATTTTTGTTATAAATTTAATGGTTTTATAGGGTTAGCAAAGGCTGCTCTTGAAGCTGTTAATGGTTGTAATTTGTTTGGTGAAAAGGGCGCTTCTTGGAGTGTGGTTTATGTGGACATTGATGCTCATAACCGGAATAGGAGTATATTTGAAACTTTGTTACCTAGGGAATCATGCTCAAAGGTACGTGTCTAATATTCATATCATATAATTAATTTGTTTTATTTTTATTATTCTTTCAGGAAGTGGATGCATCTCTTTTACCTACAATATCTTTTCCCGCTTTTGCAACACATGAAGACACACTTTATCAAAGAACTAAGGATAACATTGTAAATCGTTTAAAGGGAGAATACGGTTTCAAAAGATTTACAAGAGATGGGTTCAGAACAGTTTTGGAAGACCATAGTCAGAAGTAATTATTTCCCGTTTGAAAAAAATATTAATTTTTGAAATTCTTGTTTAAAGGTACTACAAAAAACAAGAGTTAAAACTCTATGAAGGGATCGAGTGTGAATGGCCCATATTTTATATTTTTATGATTATTGATGGTGTTTTCAAAAACTTACCTGATCAAATATCTGAGTATCAAGATTTACTGAAAAAGAGGATTTTTCTGGATCATAATGAAGGTATTAATTTAGACTAGCTTAATTTCAAATTCGTTTATTTATGCTAAAAAGAATACAAATTCGTCCTTATTTCATACAGTTGCTAAGACTAGGATAATATATGGATTAGAACAGGTCTATAATTCTTTGGAATTTGTATAACCTGCAAAAACGTAAATTTCTTGTTTGCAGGCTTAGCGTAATTGTCTCGTACATTAAATAATTTTATAAATGATGATGATTACCTAATTTTGATTGTTGCAGTAATTGTTGTTATGTGTACCCCAGTCTGAATAATCTAGGTTCTGATTCGTTTATTTCAATGAAATTCATGATTCATGCTATAATTATTCTAAGAGCTTACTCAATTTGCTTTAAAAATGTATTTTTCTACCAAACCAGATCCTGTAATACCCAAGTACTACTATGTCACTCAGGAAAACCTGGAAAAGGAACGCCGAGAACCAGGCACAACCCATAAAAAGATGGTTACCGACCATGGATTGTTTCTTTGGAACCAAGCCATGTTCATTCTGGCCCAGCTGTTAACTGCAGGGTTGTTGCACATCAACGAGCTGGATCCTATTAGAAGATACTTGCCTTCTTACAATAGACCTAGAAAAGGAGGAAGGTATTCTGCGTTTCAGGTAAGTTTATCTTTATTTTTTATTTGTTAATTCATTATTTTATTGAATCAATAATAATTAGTAGCAGACGAAATTCAAAATTGATTTTAAGACATTTTTTTATCGAGTCCTTGGTATCCTTGACCACTGAGTTTTCATAAAAGAAACATCATTTCAATTGCAGTTGTACCATATGTATTAGTACATGTTATTATTACGTTTTGCACTTGTCATCCAAGTGATAAAGTAACTACACTCTTCTTACCAAAGGGATCTTGGCATTCATTAAATATGCTTAAATAAACAAAATTTAGATAATATTATTAGGTCTAAGGACTAATTTTTTTGCACACCATATTTTTGTATGTGTTTTATGTGTTTGTCACGTTTTGTGGTCTGTAATGTTTCTGCTGTCTTGTATTACCATACTAAAAAACCTCTGTCATAAATTGAGAAAAAAGTTACTTTATTTAAATTTAGGATTAGTGTTCAATGTTTTAGGAATTCGAAGCTTTGGTGTTCATGTATTATCATAACCCATTTCTTTTTTTGCATTTTTTTTGTTACCAACATAATTTTAGTCCTATATGTTTTAACATGAAATGAGTATCACGATTGACATCCTTAACGTCCCGCCTTAATCATTTCATTTAATTTATATCTAAATATCATGTTAATTAATGATTTTTTTTTGTTTCTTGCATTCCACAGGCAAAACCTTCAATAGTAAGTAACTTTTTTAGTTCTGTAGATGCATTAATTCCATTTCAGCAGATTTTCTACTTATCTAAAGTTTGCAACACAGCATGAAAATGTCAAAATCTGCCAAGGCTTGGTGATTTTTGTTAATACTTTTGTAATTTATTTCAGTCAACTTTTATAAAAATATTAGAAAAAGTGCACAAGATAATTGCCACATACATAGCTGTTCTATTTAATGAATTATTTTCAACCAGGAGTCAGGAGTGTTACCAGCAAATACAGGGTGTCTGGAATAACTTGAAGTAGGTACATAGGAATTTTGGGAACCATTGAAGATACTCTTTTTCTTCCTAGCCGTTCTCTATCCTCTGGATATATAGGCCTCTCTCAAATTTTGACAGGTATTTCTATTCTGTGATTTCTGTGTGACCTGGTACCAGTTTAGTCCTACTGTTTTCTTGTTGTCGTCGTATCAGCGTTGTTGACGTCTGCCGACGGTACTTCGTTTCCTCCAGGGTCTCCATCTTGTTACTTTTCCGCTCCAGTTGTTGGTTGTGTTTCTCGCTACGTCCAGTTCCATTTGAGGGTGCATATGTGTAATATCTTCCACCTATGTTGTGCTTCGATGGTCTTGTGATCCCTTGGTGTAATACCAATACCTATATTTCTCATTTCGATTGCTCTCTGATGTACTTGCAGCTTATTTAGGATTTTCTTTGTGGACGTCCATGTTTCGCTTCCATAGGCAAACACTGGCAGAATACATTCATCGTAGACTTTAGTTTTCAGCTTCAAAGGTAACTTGGACCGGAATATGTGGCGCATTTTACCATAAGCCGCCCATTCCAGTTGCATTCTCCTATTAATTTCGAATTCTTGATTGACTTTGCCAAGTATTATTTCCTGTCCTAGATACTTGTAGGAGACTTCAGAGATTGTAGTCCTTTGAAGAAGATGAAATCCAGTGAAAGATTCAGCTTTCTATCTATAGTAGAAAAAAAGTTATGACCTTTCAAAGTTTTCCAAAATCTAAGTCATAAGGGAGGTACCTTCTTACTAAAACGATGAAATTTCAAATTTTTTTTGGTCGAGATTTTGTATCCTAATGGTCAATCAACATACCCCAAACTCCATACAATAATTTATTTTCAGATTTGAAGCCGAAATCTATGAAAAAAGGCACTCAGAAAAATTGAAAAATTGATAAATCACCCCAAATTGCTTAACACGATTTTATCTCAGGAACTATAAGTGCAAATGAACTGAAATTTTTAGAGATTGTAGTCCTTTGAAGAAGATGAAATTCAGTGAAAGATTCAGCTTTCTATCTATAGTAGAAAAAGAGTTATGACCTTTCAAAGTTTTCCAAAAACTGAATCATAAGGGGGGTACCTTCTTACTAAAACGATGAAATTTCAATTTTTTTTTTGTCGAGATTTTGTATCCTAATGGTCAATCAACATACCCCAAACTCCATACAATAATTTATTTTCAGATTTGAAGCCGAAATCTATGAAAAAAGGCACTCAGAAAAATTGAAAAATTGATAAATCACCCCAAATTGCTTAACACGATTTTATCTCAGGAACTATAAGTGCAAATGAACTGAAATTTTTAGAGATTGTAGTCCTTTGAAGAAGATGAAATTCAGTGAAAGATTCAGCTTTCTATCTATAGTAGAAAAAGAGTTATGACCTTTCAAAGTTTTCCAAAAACTGAATCATAAGGGGGGTACCTTCTTACTAAAACGATGAAATTTCAATTTTTTTTTTTGTCGAGATTTTGTATCCTAATGGTCAATCAACATACCCCAAACTCCATACAATAATTTATTTTCAGATTTGAAGCCGAAATCTATGAAAAAAGGCACTCAGAAAAATTGAAAAATTGATAAATCACCCCAAATTGCTTAACACGATTTTATCTCAGGAACTATAAGTGCAAATGAACTGAAATTTTCAGAGACTGTAGTCCTTTGAAAAAGATAAAATTCAGTGAAAGATTCAGCTTTCTATTTATAATAGAAAAAAAGTTATGACCTTTCAAAGTTTCCAAAATCTAAATCATAAGGGGGGTACCTTCTTACTAAAACGATGAAATTTTAATTTTTTTTTTGTTGAGATTTTGTATCCTAATGGTCAATCAACATACCCCAAACTCCATACAATAATTTATTTTCAGATTTGAAGCCGAAATCTATGAAAAAAGGCACTCAGAAAAATTGAAAAATTGATAAAGCACCCCAAATTGCTTAACACGATTTTATCTCAGGAACTATAAGTGCCAATGAGCTGAAATTTTCAGGGATTGTAGTCCTTTCAAGAAGATGAAATTCAGTGAAAGATTCAGCTTTCTATCTATAATAGAAAAAAAGTTATGACCTTTCAAAGTTTTCCAAAATCTGAATCATAAGGGGAGTACCTTCTTACTAAAACGATGAAATTTCAAATTTTTTTTGGTCGAGATTTTGTATCCTAATGGTGAATCAACATACCCCAAACTCCATACAATAATTTATTTTCAGATTTGAAGCCGAAATCTATGAAAAAGGCACTCAGAAAAATTGAAAAATTGATAAATCACCCCAAATTGCTTAACACGATTTTATCTCAGGAACTATAAGTGCAAATGAGCTGAAATTTTCAGAGACTGTAGTCCTTTGAAAAAGATAAAATTCAGTGAAAGATTCAGCTTTCTATCTGTAATAGAAAAAAAGTTATGACCTTTCAAAGTTTTCCAAAATCTGAATCATAAGGGGGGTACCTTCTTACTAAAACGATGAAATTTTAATTTTTTTTTTGTTGAGATTTTGTATCCTAATGGTCAATCAACATACCCCAAGCTCCATACAATAATTTATTTTCAGATTTGAAGCCGAAATCTATGAAAAAAGGCACTCAGAAAAATTGAAAAATTGATAAATCACCCCAAATTGCTTAACACGATTTTATCTCAGGAACTATAAGTGCAAATGAACTGAAATTTTCAGGGATTGTAGTCCTTTCAATAAGATGAAATTCAGTGAAAGATTCAGCTTTCTATCTATAATAGAAAAAAAGTTATGACCTTTCAAAGTTTTCCAAAATCTGAATCATAAGGGGGGTACCTTCTTACTAAAACGATGAAATTTCAAAATTTTTTTTGTCGAGATTTTGTATCCTAATGGTCAAACAACACACCCCAAACTCCATACAATAATTTATATTCAGATTTGAAGCCGAAATCTATGAAAAAAGGCACTCAGAAAAATTGAAAAATTGATAAATCACCCCAAATTGCTTAACACGATTTTATCTCAGGAACTATAAGTGCAAATGAGCTGAATTTTTTAGTGACTGTAGCCCTTTGAAAAAAATTAAATTCAGTGAAAGATTCAGCTTCCTACCTATAATAGAAAAAAAGTTATGACCCTTCAAAGTTTTCCAAAATCTAAGTCATAAGGGAGGTACCTTCTTACTGAAACGATGAAATTTCAATTTTTTTTTTGTCGAGATTTTGTATCCTAATGGTCAAACAACATACCCCAAACTCCATACAATAATTTATTTTCAGATTTGAAGCCGAAATCTATAAAAAAAGGCACTCAGAAAAATTGAAAAATTGATAAATCACCCCAAATTGCTTAACACGATTTTATCTCAGGAACTATAAGTGCAAATGAGCTGAAATTTTCAGAGACTGTAGTCCTTTGAAAAAAATTAAATTCAGTGAAAGATTCAGCTTCCTACCTATAATAGAAAAAAAGTTATGACCCTTCAAAGTTTTCCAAAATCTGAATCATAAGGGAGGTACCTTCTTACTAAAACGATGAAATTTCAATTTTTTTTTTTGTCGAGATTTTGTATGTGCAAATGAGCTGAAATTTTCAGAGACTGTAGTCCTTTGAAAAAGATAAAATTCAGTGAAAGATTCAGCTTTCTATCTGTAATAGAAAAAAAGTTATGACCTTTCAAAGTTTTCCAAAATCTGAATCATAAGGGGGGTACCTTCTTACTAAAACGATGAAATTTCAATTTTTTTTTTGTCGAGATTTTGTATCCTAATGGTCAATCAACATACCCCAAACTCCATACAATAATTTATTTTCAGATTTGAAGCCGAAATCTATGAAAAAAGGCACTCAGAAAAATTGAAAAATTGATAAATCACCCCAAATTGCTTAACACGATTTTATCTCAGGAACTATAAGTGCAAATGAGCTGAATTTTTTAGTGACTGTAGTCCTTTGAAAAAAAATAAATTCAGTGAAAGATTCAGCTTCCTACCTATAATAGAAAAAAAGTTATGACCCTTCAAAGTTTTCGAAAATCTAAGTCATAAGGGAGGTACCTTCTTACTAAAACGATGAAATTTCAAAATTTTTTTTGTCGAGATTTTGTATCCTAATGGTCAAACAACACACCCCAAACTCCATACAATAATTTATATTCAGATTTGAAGCCGAAATCTATGAAAAAAGGCACTCAGAAAAATTGAAAAATTGATAAATCACCCCAAATTGCTTAACACGATTTTATCTCAGGAACTATAAGTGCAAATGAGCTGAAATTTTCAGAGACTGTAGTCCTTTGAAAAAGATAAAATTCAGTGAAAGATTCAGCTTTCTATCTGTAATAGAAAAAAAGTTATGACCTTTCAAAGTTTTCCAAAATCTGAATCATAAGGGGGGTACCTTCTTACTAAAACGATGAAATTTCAATTTTTTTTTTGTTGAGATTTTGTATCCTAATGGTCAATCAACATACCCCAAACTCCATACAATAATTTATTTTCAGATTTGAAGCCGAAATCTATGAAAAAAGGCACTCAGAAAAATTGAAAAATTGATAAATCACCCCAAATTGCTTAACACGATTTTATCTCAGGAACTATAAGTGCAAATGAACTGAAATTTTCAGGGATTGTAGTCCTTTCAATAAGATGAAATTCAGTGAAAGATTCAGCTTTCTATCTATAATAGAAAAAAAGTTATGACCTTTCAAAGTTTTCCAAAATCTGAATCATAAGGGGGGTACCTTCTTACT